TTTTAACTTTGTTGATTTACTTCACCAGCTTTGTATGACTTGATGCTTTGTATTGAAGAATGGTGGGGAGAGCAGCTAACAGCTTACCAAATGTACTTTCTTCTTTGTTTTCTCTAGCCTAAGTTTTGTCCCAGTTGCCCCAGCTTCATCCATTTCAGTGTGTTAGCTTCAAGCATGGTGTAGCTTGTGGTGCTGGTGTAGGCTGGCATTGGAAGGGTGGTGCATGTCCATGAGCACACTCAGAAGCTAGTGCTGCTTCTGGCCTCGTGCTCTTGTTCCGTCACCTCCTGACTGCACCCACCCTGGCATTTGTATGAGCTCTGGGGAGGTAGATTGGAAGGCTTAAAACTCTTATTCTTGGCTCATAGTACAAGATTGCAAGTTTCATCAGATGTGCTACATGATTTGCTGTATGATTTTTTGCTCCACTGAATAGGATGATTAATGGTTGTGGATTTTAGGAGGGGACAGGGAAGGGGATCAGGACCACATATGGTGGCAGTACTGGCTGAACCTGGCTTTACTGCCTTGTAAAGCTAATGCCTTCTGAAGGTCAAAAGAACTTGTGGAACTACATCTAGACACATACATTACTGTTCCAGTAGTTCTTGTTCTAGAATTAACATCTGTGAGGATATCCCTGCATATCCAACTTAGATTATTTAATATATCACACCTTTCTGGTTTAGGAGAGTAAAAATCCAATGAGTATCAATATTGCTGCTGTAGCATTTTGGAGTTCAGGGTAGAATCTGTGGGTGTAGAGATGCTGCGGAAAAGGCAGTAGCCTCTTGATGAACAACTACATTCTCCCCCCCCCCAAAGCTGTAAACACTAAGACAAAATTATATGTTCTACTAAAGCAGCAGTGCTCTATTTAATTTCTAAAAATTCCTGTTGTCATGAGTGGGTGATAACTGTCAGCTGACAGAATGTGATTTGCTTTGTCTGAAACACAGTAGAGAAAGTCACTAGTCTATGCTGCCCACATACTACTTTAATCTTCCAAGTGGTTTGTAATATTGCCTAACCATACTTTTGTAGTCTGTGATGTAAATTAAATGAAATACTGATGTAGCAGATTTCTAAACTGCTGAAAGATGCCTCCTATGTTAGGAAACATGTCTGCTCTTAGTATAAACACAGGGAAGGTGGCTGTTTGGCCTTGAGTGGATTGCTTAGTCTGTTTATTTGTAGGCTTAGGGGAAAAAAGTCAGACGTGCCTACACTTTTGCTTTATTATGTGAGAATGTCACTCCCACACCAGTAGGGAGTTTGCTCCTCCATATGGTGTCTGGTGGTCCATCAGGAAGAACCAAAAGACTCCTGATGAGGATAAGCAAAGAGAGTAAGTCAAATCTGCTCCCTAAATATAAGGAGATGTTTCAGAAGGTAACTTCTATCTCTGGAGCCATGTGCTGTTACAGTATTGGTTCTTGCAGTAGCGAACCAGTACTGGTAGCACTAGGCCTCCTGTCCCTTCAAAGCATTAAAAAAAAAAAGTATATGGAAAAAACCCCAGCATTTTGCATATTCATTCTGTGAAAATTCTGTGATTGATACTGACTGGGACATCTTGCCAGTTGTATGGGGAATTGGTAAGAAGTGTCTTGCAAGCTGATGGTCAAAATGATGAGGTAGGTGGGGAATGGTGCTTATCCATAAGGGTACTTTTGATGTTCTTAATCCCTGTGAATAGTTTCGCTGAAGCTGGGACTCGGAATGGTTGGATCTGAGTCCCAGTGCCAGGAAGGGCAACCTAACAAAACTAAAACTTTGGACTATGTATTTTAGGTCCTGAAATGGTACGCTTGTCTTTCTGTCTCAGATTACATTTTAAGCCTCTTTGTCTAGTAGAACTCCATTTTAATGGAGTTTAATGATATGCTAGTTAAATGCCACCTGCTGCCTCCTCTTTTGTAGTGGTAGCAGCAGCAAAAGCAATGTTTCTTATTAGTAGTGTGTGCATTTTACAATTGGCGCCTCTGTCTTTTGCCAGGATCCTGATTTTCACAGAGAGGGAGGCAGGCAGAACAGTGGTGGAGGCAATCATGTGCGTGTATCCAGACAATATTCTTGCACTGGCAGCCAGTGTATTGCTGTAACACAGACTTACACTGATGCAAATGGAGTCTTGGACTTTGCTCAGATTAGTGGGGTTCTGCTGTTGTCTCTAGTGCCTCCTTTTTTCCCCACCTCTTCCCGAGACCCATCAAACTTACTGACTTGAATAACTGTATGACTACTGAGTACTGAAATAAAAATTTCCATTTGGAGCTAGAGGCTTAGATGAAGTTAGAAAACCCAAGTGTTCATTCCTTCTCTTGTGTTCTCTCAGCTGCAGGCTTAGAAAAACAGGAAAGTGATGTTTAAATAAGTTTTCTTTACTATGTCTTATAATTGTAAGATTCCTAAATGCTGTCTGTGATGCTAGATGGGTTAGAAAGGTCAGTAACTAAAGCTGAACTGCAGCATGAGGAAACAAAACTGTCTATTTACAGCAATGTATATTGCAAAACTCAGCTTATGTGACTGGTCACATCTAGGGAAGTCCTTTCCAGTCACTGCTTGTGCTGCCATAAAGTACAATTTTCTTTGTTTTAACAAAGGTTGAGTGCTTTCTTGCTATAAATGAACTGTGAGCGTTAGAACCTAGTTATAAGATGAGGTTTTGGAAGGCAAGAAGACTTGTCTTCTGTATTTGGTCTAAACTGTATGGAAATCAACATCTAACTGTGGCAAGATCAAGCTCAGGTGTTAATTCTGAATGTTCACACTCTCTAGCCTGACAAATTTTGCAGGTATTGTTTCTGTAAGAATGTGCAGTATATCCTTTAGTCTTTCTCCAGACGCTGCTGTTTCTCTGAAACCAGCCAAGTGGTTCATTCTGTGTGTACAGTCCCTTTACTGGGGCTGTTGAAGAAAAAAGTGTTTTAGTTCTGACTTAACTCAGTTTTACTCCAACTTGTATGGAATTTTTTACTCCATCTTGTATGGCATCAGGTGGAGTAATTCCTTCTTTTAATGATTTTTCCGCTGCTATTGTGTCAGTCTAGATGCACTGATCTAGAGTCACCTGTGAGTAATGTATCTTAAGCAACCTGTGTAGGTAACATGCGTGAATGCTATTTAGGTGATGTCTGATTTTATTATATACAAATTAATCTAGTTCATGTCACGTGGATCAGTATGACTTGTATAACACCTACCAACTTTTAGTATGATCTGAAAATTCCTCTTGTGCACATGCAAGCCATTTTAGCCTGAAAAAAGCAGAAATTATTCTTTTTCCACACATCTTGCAATCCTACTTCAGTGTGTCAAGTCACATGATTTTCTGATAGAATGTTCTATAGCTTTAAGTAGTTCTGGAGAAAACTACCAAAATGTACCCTCCTTAGTTTTTTTCTGCATGGTCTCTATTTCTGAAAACTATTTCCATTTGTTGGGTAGCAAAGAAACTTCCTAGCTGGGCTTAAAGAGGGACAGGGGATGTGTCTGGACCAAGGAGGGACTCTCAATCTGCTTCCTGATGGAAGCCAATCCTGGCATTGGGCGACCTCTGGAAGGAAAATCAATGTCTGTTTGGGATAGCTGTTCATAGTCTCATGGGCTGGAGGTGTCTGTTGTGTGTCCTTGATCTGTTTGTGTGTGTATGGTTTTAGCTTCAGGGGAAAAAAGTTTGAGACAAGGCATGAAATATTTGTATTGAGATTTCAGAAAACAGGTTCCTCCAGTAAGACACTGATTGTAGTACTCCATAATTGTCCTAGAAAATAGTTGATATTTCACTTACAGTAAAGAGCTTGCTTTAGCTTTTTTTGAGTGGGATTCTCAAAGCTGGCAGGTATTTGCTTCTGCTCCTTTTTTCTGTGGGGTTATTCTTTTTACACCCAGGTACAGGTTGTCTTCTAAAAAAAATAAAAACATGGTGGATATCTTCAATTCTGTATTCCATGGTACTTGGTTTCAGACACTGCTGGGTAGGCTTGGTTTCTGCATGCTGTCTGTGAATGTCCAGGCCATCATAGTCCTTGAAGCCTTTTTCTTAGTTATGAGGAGTTTGAAAGTTCTCTATGCCTTCTTTTCTGTTGCAAGCCTTTCATTGCCATCTTGTGCGAGGAAAACATTTACCTCAAGGTGAGTGTAGGTTTGAAATATGGAACTGTTTCTTGTCTGTCTTAAGAAATACTTGCGTGGTCAGCTCTCTGGAATGCAAGGGCTGTGGAGTGCTTTGTCCTCCCTGCTCCAGCTCTCAGTTTAACAGCTTATCCTCTGTTCTTTTTTTCCTACGCCTGGCATTTCTGCAGAGGTGGTTTAGTTACGATACTCTGAAAAGCTTTAGTTCTCTAGAATATTTGAGCAACAGCTGCAGTTGAACTTTATCTCTACTGAACGTATGAAAACACAAAAACCAAACTGCAGAGCAGACCAGCTTTTTAATGTTTGTGAGAATAAGACCTTTTATGGGGTACTGATTTGGTAAAGAAAAGCATGGAAAAGACAGATTACAACTGCCTATTATATTTAGCAGTCTGTAGACATTGAGGTTTTCCAGGTAACCACTTGGAACATCTTTCTAGCTGGGTGGATGAGCGATCCTCAGGGTATGTGTTTACACTTTTGTGTACGTCCAAGCAGCTGTCTGTGTAAGTAAAATGGTTTTGAAGGAGTGAGAAAGCAGATGAATGTCAACTTGCTGATGCAGATCTTCGTAGGCTAACTGTATAGCTAGTTTCCTTTTTGGGTGTCCCTCCCTGTTACCACATCAGGGTACTTAAAGATGATAAGGTTATTAAGCAACAAATACTTAGGGGGAGGTTAGAGTCAGCGGAAGTTTCTGACTCTGAAAGTGAGCTGACTTTGATCATACCTCTGAATGGCATATGGTGCATGTTACTGTAGTCACTTTCTCAACAGAACAAGAGAGATCTAGAAAAAGTTCTTTATTTTTGAAACATTTCACTGCCTAATTCTTCTCATTCTCTCTCTTATGTGCAGACGCTGTGCTATAGAAAATGCACTATTACCGATATTCTAATGCAGAAGTCAGCTGTTGGTACAAATACCTGCTCTTCAGCTACAACATTGTCTTCTGGGTGAGTACAAAATGTAGAGACTGAAATAGCTTAGTCATACCTCAGTTTTATTAACTTCCTTCTTCTGTTCAAGAGGCTGAAATATTTACCTGAAAGGAAACTGGTGTATGGTATGTCCTGGGTGTTTTGGAATTGAGAAAGCCTGTCCTATGTATTTTTTCCCTTCATTGCTTTTTCCTCCTATCTTACCTTGTGAGTGAAGATAAAGGAGAGAAGCAGATAAAAAAGATAAAATGGTGTTGGATTTTTTTGTTTGTTTGTGTGTGGGTTTTGGGTTTTTTTGGGGTCTGTGGTTTTTTTGTGTTTGTTTGATTTTTTTGTTTGTTTTTATTTTTATTTTTTTTAGGAGAAAGGAAATATTTACTTAAAGGATTTGTCAAAAGAAAATAGTATAGTCTCTACTGTTGCTGACAAGGCCTCTGTCTTTTGAATGGTTGGGGCTATTAAACACTGGTTGTGTTTTGGCAAAGGTTAAAGCTACCTTACTTAAGTGGTACATCGAGCTGCTTCCCTGTTAAGAGGAGTCTATTATAATATCTCCTTTCAGATCATCTTTGATCTCTGTGTTTGGGTGGTGTAGCTTAAATACACTATGCAGAAGAGAAGAAAGGAACTGCCCCAGAGATGTGTCAACTTGCTGGCATTGCAACATAGTCAAGATTTTAAATGTCCTGCTCTGTGGGCAGCAAAATTGTCTGATACACTCTTGAAATACTTAGCTAGGGACTAGCCTGCCTATAATGCTTGTTTAGAATTGTGAATGTGAAAAGGGTGAAAAAACAAGTGTGTGGTTTTAGATGCCTATGATGAGCAAGATCACTGAAGCACCTGACTACCTTTAAAAGGCGGCTGTTATTCAAAGGTTAGTGTTGCATTAGAAATAGTTAACATGTCTGTGAAGGAAAGATAAGGATGCGGTTCAGATAAACTTGATGATTCTTTTCAGAACTTGCAGGTCAAATGTTAAGAGTTTGCACCTGAAGTCATGGAAACTGCAGGCATGGAAGAGCATGGGTAGTCATGGAGAAATGTACATCTGGTGATTTGCCTGGTGCTGGCATCTTAGATTAATGTTCTGATTCAGAGTTGAAGTATTGCTTAGTATGTGTAGCCTTTTCTAAAGATGCTCAGATTTTTTTCAAAGCTGAAAGGATCAGATAGAATGAAAGTATGGTATGTGGTTGAAGGAACTTGTTAAAGTTAAGAGTCAAAACTGATCCTGATCCTGACTTGTCTGAGATCAGTAGACATGCTAGAGAAGACTCTATTTATTCTATTAGTTTACTCTGATTCCTTAAATCATGTCAACTTTAAGTAATACAAAGTTCAAGATATACTGAAGTACTACCCAAATCTGTATTTAACTTCAGTAAAAAATGAGATTTAGTGTCTGAACATAAATTACAGACTTCAGAGTCTTGTTTGTACTTGCAAGCAATGACTTCGTATTTGCTTGATTTACCCACATAAACTTCTGGTAAACTAGGTTGGTGATTCTGCACATTTTGTCTGCTTTGGCAGTATTTAAGGTAGAAAATAAGGTTTTTTTGAAAGCTGCATGTATTACGGACAAAAATCTGAATTAATTTAGAATCACAGAAAAGACTAGGTTTGTTCTAGATGGAAGGCCAGGTTGGATGAAGCTTTGAGCAGCTGGTCTAGTAGGTGTCCATGCCCATGGCAAGGGAGTTGGAACTAGGTGATGTTTAAGGTTCATTTCAACTCAAACCATTTTGTGATTCTGTGAATTTCTGGACATCATCTTGACCAATTTTCTATTGAAAGTAGGACATGTAAGGTAGGAAATAACTGCTCAAAGAAATAGCTGCTGGGAGTTTTGTGAGCTGCTAACTCATTATTTTTCTGCTGTCCTTAGCCTAATAAAAATGCTAGAAGGCCAGGTAATACGGGGACAGCTGTGTTTGGTATGGTGGTTGAAAACCACAGAACTTTTTGTTACTTCACCACCTCTTGTTTACTGGTGCAGTGTCTTGACATGGTATTGTAGCATTAAGCCACAGGAGCATTTATCCTTGTGTGGGTAACAGAGCAGGAAAGATGTGTGTTGTTTGAGTAGAAACTTTTTTCCAGGAAGGGTTAATTTGCCACAGTGTTGCCATAGTGCAGATGTTTGTTAGTGATGACTTTTTCCTACTAGCAATTGAGGATTCCCATCATGGCCTTGTTTCAAAAAGTCTATGCTCAAAGGCTACCAGCTCTGTAGTTACTTTTCTTCTGTATAGTACAACTCCTATGTAACTGTAGTGAAGTGAGGTGCAGTGAGAAGTAGTATTAATCAAGTTGCTCTGGTTTTCAGAGAAATCACTTTGGGTAGATGTTCTTCAGCAGGTAGTGTGGGGTATGTGAGAAATTGATAGGCTGTTCTATTCATGAATGTATTAGAACTGTTTTGGACCTCTGCTTTCTTTCTAGTGAGAGTCTTGTGAATTGGGGTCTATTACTAGTTTTCATGAGTAAACAACCTCTGAAAACCTGGGTGTTTTTTTTTTTTTCTTTTTCTTTTCTGGAAAGCATTTGCCTCTGCTTTTTCACAGGAATTAATTTTGTCTCTTATTTTATTTTCACTCCCTGCTGAGTCATTATATTTTACTTTTTTCAAACTTATTTTTTACTATATTCTCTTGAAATTAATGATGACGATCCACAGACTTCCTTTTTTTTTCTGTTCCATAAAGAATCATTTTTAAACAGATGCAGAAAAATTGAGGATAATTTGCAATATAGCTTGTGCATTTCAGTTGATCTGTTGGCTGGAGGAATTGCTTTTCTGAACAGGTACTATTTGTCTTGGTACCTTGCTCAATAAATGGTCTGAGGCTTTGTTGTGGTTTAAACCCAGCCAGCACCTAAGTACCATGCAGCTGCTGGCTCACCTCCCATTCTCCTTCCTCCACTAAAATATCACTGTGTTATCAGCATTATTGTCAGGCTAAAGCCAAAACACAACACTGTACCAGCTACTAGGAAGAAAATTAACCCTACCCCAGCCAAAACCAGAACAGGCTTCTGAGAAGTTATCAGGCTGACCTAGTAAACTGTGTGCAGCTACAGCTTTTTTGGTAAGAGGTCGGTACCTTCAGTTGTAGAACAAGCTATGTAAATGTTGGGTGGGAGCGTAGATGCTCCTGTAGGCAATGCACGAATCATTGAGCTGAAGAAGTAATTCAGGAGCCTATGGCATCCTGCTAGCTGGGATGACTAGTGTGATCATCTCTTTAGTTGGAAAAATCCATCATGTGTAGAACAAAGTAAATTTTCTGTGTGCCTTAAGAACTGGAGGACTACAAAGACAGAAGGGAAATGTAACCATGACTCGAAAAAAGCAGCATTTAAGGGGGGAATGTTGGTCTTGAGTCACTTTTCTTGGCTTGCAAGACAGGTACCTGTGGGAGCTTGTTTTGTAAGTGTTAGTGAGTGTGGCTATTATATAGTGGGTATGAGGGATAGTGTTTAGATAGGTGTGCAGACAGCCTCTTGCCCATTTAAGCTGTTACGGGAGATACGATGGTAGCTCACCTTTGTCTCAACTCATGACACAGTTTAGTCACGAACTAGGTAATTTGCATGTAAATAAAATTGCAGTTGTTCATCTGTCATGCTTGCTAAAGATGCATGTTGACTTCCCCATTGTAGCTCTAAAGATAGTGACTATAAATTTTAAAGTTGAAGTGCATGCTTTACAGAATATTTTTAGTGGGTGATTGGTTACTTCAGTTTGTATCATTTTTCAAATACAGTTCACATGGACTGGGATTGCACAAAATATTGAAATAGGAGGACAAATATGACTTCTAATAATATCAAGCTCACAGTTTAATCAGCCTTTAGAAATCTGTAAATATATCTTTTTTTTTTTAAGTGTTTTTTTTTTTCCACACGGGCAACTTGGCAACAGAAGGTTCAGTTCTGATGGCTTTGAGTTAGTTGTATACAACTGGCTTGCAAAATCACTTTTCTGTTCTTTGTGCTTGGCTTTCCCTTTTAAGAAAGGCAATGGAGGTCATAGGAAGGCTCTTATCTTCCTAGGCATGATTTTAATGTGGGATTGCTTTATTCTCATCTTGCCTTTTAAGCATGCTAATAAGATTTAAATTCTCCAAGTACACTTGTTTTAATGAGTAGTGATGAGGCAATATTGCAACCATTAAGACAGCCCTGCAGGGAGTGCTCAGAAGTTTAAGTGAAATTATTACAGCAAGACTGGACCTCCTTTTGAGTTTTTAAAGCTTCCCCCCTCCCCGAATAGCTTCATTTGTCATTATGAAATTAAAAGGCCACAGTAATAAAAGGTGAAGAGCTTGGTTCTAGCACCTTTCTGTTCCAAGTAATTTTGCAATTGAGTGAGTCCTGTGAAAGGCCCAGTGGAGGGGAGAAGGCAGGGGTGGACAACTGACCCCAGAGGGAGTGCAGGGATGCCCTGTCTTGGGGTGCAGCTCTGCTCTTAGGCCTTCCAGCTTGGGAATTCTTGGGAAGGCCTAGGGTATAAATGGCAGTGCTTCAATCATCTGCCTCTGGTGATTGCTGATTTCTCTCCAGTTGAAGAATTTTTTTGGGTAGTCCAAGAATGACACCTTGGCCAGGATATGGCTATTTCAGTGAAGCATTGCACGTGTGCTCTGTGAAAGCCTTTTAGGTTGCGTATGAGCTCACCATCTCTCAGGTGAATTGAAAGGAGAGCAGCTTTTAGCTGCTGTCATCTTGATACATCTTCTGATGCTGTGTATGTTTGCGTAGCTCTTAAGGGGTTTTGGAGGGGAAAAAAAATCTTTTTCACTCATGCTATAGAAGCTGTGGCATTTTTGCTCTGAACATGAAGGGCAAAAATTCTTTTAAGTCTGGAAAAGAATACCAAGTTCATTTCTGAAAAGTAAGAGAAGACCCAGGCTAGCATAAGATTTTCTTGGCTTTTGCAGTGTATGTTGTTTTTCAGGAACATCTGAAACAGCAAGGCTGTGCAGGAAGAGGAAAGAATCTACCACCAGGTGGTTTCCTGATCCTGCGAAGAAAAGTCTGGGAAGAGACAAGGGTAGGAAGGAAGGAAGGCTGTAGGCTGCCGATTGCTCCAGCATGGGTGGAGCTACAGTGTAAAATAGGATTGTCCAGGGGGTGGACCAAGTGCTCTCTGTAAGAGTAACATTTTGTGCTTACAAAAATTGCGTGCAATGGGAATGCATTCCCATTGCTTCTAATAAGACCACGGGGCAGGCTGTCACAAAATCAGTTTGTGTGCAAGGGTTGTCTTGCAAGAACTATGTTTAGCTGCAGTCTAGATTTGAGAAACGGATCTGTTTTCTCAGTTAGTAGGGTGATTCTTAATAGCATAGTCAAAGGAATTCAGTGTGATTTGGAACAGATAATGCTTAAGCGGTCTTTGTACATGGTGTCTGTGAGTTGGTGCCAGTATTGTACATCTCCTGAGCAGAGGCTACAGCTCGATGTAATACTGTTAATAATGTGGATTCTTCAGTTCTAAAGCAGGAAATGACCAAATGCTGCTTAGTTTCCTGTTCAAAGGGGTATAGTTGAGCTGCTTTGTGTATGTTTCAATCTAATCTTTTATGCAGTATGTGATTTAAATGACTCCATGGCACAGAAGTGAATTGGGTAGTCCAGTTTGTTCTTGCTCATGTCATCCAGATTCTGGTGAAAGGCAAATTCCAAAATGCTTCTCTTGAAATATATCTGGCTCGCTCACTTTCACCCTGGGAACACTTGTGGCATTGCTTCTTCTCAGCTGCCTGTTCTCCCATTCATGTGGCCAGTTAGTTCAGTGAGCTGACTGATGAAGGTAAAAACTTTTCTTTCGGTTCAGGCTGGATCAGTTCCCTTGTCTGCCTCATGGCAGTTACTGGAATATGTCTCTGCAAGAGTGGTAAAGAGAGGGTATTTTCCTAGTCCTAATTCTCTGTAGAACTCTCTATTGGGCATGCTCAATCACACTAACTTCTGAGGTAGTTTTATCACCATTGTGTGTTTTATGATAGTTTCCAATTAGATACTTTACAGTATCATGCAGTTGGCATTTCAAGCAAAGAAATCTCATTCACTTAAATAACTACCATCTTCCTTGCAAATTGGTTGTCTTGGTAATTGTGCCTGTAAAGCTGATAGCTTTGTTTCTTCTACAAGTACATCATACTTCACCGTTTTTTTTGCTGAAGAAACCTAATGTATGTGGTTTGGCGGCTTCTAGTGAGAATTATGAATCACTTAGGTGAATTAAGTTATAGATTTATCCATTTTGATTTTATAAGACTAAGTTGATTTTTCTGCTGATAAACTGCTTTACTTAAAAGTAGTATGCATAGGTGCCCATGGAAATAACTTCTCAAAAATAGTGCAGCTTTGTGAAACTGAACATTTAATAAAACATGAGTTTGTGTTCAGAGGTGAGCATGAAGCATGCTAGTGAAAATCTACTTAATCTAAATTACTACTAAACTAATTACAGTTTAGGACAGTAATTATAATGAAGGCAACCAGTCTGAAGAGGACACCTTATTTCTATATTCGATAGAACATTATTAGTGTTACACTAACATTAGTTTGTATACAGAGTGTGGAAGTCTTCTCAGTTTTTCCCCTCATTTCTTAAGAAAAAGTTCCCAAAGATCCAGCTGTGTCTACTGTGTAATTTACCTTGATTACTGCAAATTATGCCAGCTGTCTTCACCTGTCTCTCAGTATTTCTGGAGCATTTGGAATGAGAAAGAGTGAAGGATGCATTGATTGCATTCACTGTATAACTTAATGACATACAAGTTTTGAGTATAGATTTTTTTTATTATTATTATTTTTATTTTTTTACTATGGCCTCTTCATCTGAAAAGCACTGGGTTAAGATTTGGGGGTAATCTGGGTCAAAAGTCTGTTTATATACACGAGTTTTTTTAATAATATTTTTAAAAGTTGTGCTTTGATCCAAATCATGTTTTTAGCTTATTTAGAGTCTGACATGAGCAGTTACTATGCTGTTGCTTGTTAAGCAGTATCTGGAAATTTGACTTTTATTTAGCACTGCTTTGCTACATTGTAACTCTTTGCATCTGTTAGTAGTGGATTTGATTGGTTAATGTGTGTGATTAAGCCCTAAAATATGGCATATAGTACTTTATGCACAGATGGAAGTGTCTAAGATCATTTGAGTAATTTTTACTGAATGACATGAATGGCACAGCCCTTTTAGGCTTCCCCCCCCCCCCCCCCCCCCCTTCCCCCAGCAGTGTAAATCCAGAACAACTTAATTCTCCCTGATTGCAGTTTAGGGTCAGTAGGCAATGAACCCAGCAGTACTTAAAATCTACACGTAGTTTCTTGTGTGACTGTGAGACAGTTGCTTTTGCTGTGGGGAATTGCCTGTGATGCTTATTTAGTTCATGGGAGAGAGGAAAGGGTCCCCTTTTCAAGGCATTTTTTCAGTTGTTGGGATTTACTTGTCAATGTGTGAGTGGGGTGGGGCAAGCAACCTCAGCCCTTTACATAGCATCATTTAGGTTGGAAAAGACCTGTAAGTCCAACCGGTTAACCTAACACTGCCAATTCCACCACTAAGCCATGTCCCTAAGTGCCATATCTGCATGTCTTTTAAATACCCCTAGGGACGGTGACTCTACCACTTCCCTGGGCAGACTGTTCCAATACTTGACAACTCTTCTGGTGAAGAAATTTTTCCTAATACTCAATCTAAACCTCCCCTGGAACAACTTGAGGCTGTTTGCTCTCATCCTATAGTTTGTTACTTGAGAAAAGACACCACTCACTTCCTTGTCCATTCTCCTTTCAGGTGGTTGTAGAGAGCAGTAAGGTTGGCCCTCAGCCTCTTTTTCTCCAGACTAAACAAAGCCTAGTTCCTTCAGCTGTTCCTCATAAAACTTATTCTCTAGACCCTTCACCAGCTTTGTTGTTCTTTGGACACATTTCAGCACCTCAATGTCTTTTAAGGTTACATGGACATAGTGATATGGTATGTTACTTGCTATATTGTATACCTGCAAGTGGTAGCTGTAATTACATCGTTACTGTGTCTTGGGCTGGGACAAAGTGACCCTCTTAAAACAATAAGGAACACATTCATGGCACAACCACATCTTGGTTGTGTTTGAAGGATCAAAGGAGAACATCCAGGATTGGTGGCACCAAAAGAATGAGTTATTTGACAGCTTGGTGAAATGACTATTCAACTACCTAACTTGTCAAAACAACTAACTTTTAAGGTGTCCTAAAGTGAACTTCCTTCATTATAATATTAAAAATCACAGCCATAGGTCAAAAAGACCCTGACCCAGGTGACGACTCTTCCCCTGAGCATGTGTGGTAGCTAGAGAGGACAACACAACAAATATTAATTATATGTAAATTACAACCAATCATCGTAACACGGAGTGTACTGCCTTGTAACATTTGTGTATCAATATAATGACGAAAGCTGGCATCGGAGTGCTTGGTTTGCAGAACAGTCCACCCAGCACCCAGGCCTGAATAAACAATCTCTCTCCTGAGCTCGTGGAATTGGTTTACTATATACAGGGCACAAATCTGCTTTTCAGAAAACAATAGCAGAGTAGAACGACATTTTAAATAATGAGGGGGAGCTGCCTTCGGTTTGCAGAGAGGTCATTTTAGTTTGAGTATTGAAATGGTTCTGATTATTGAAATGTCTGAGAGTGGAGAAAGGAAATAAAAGACTAGAACAAGGATCTCATGCTTCATTTGGATGAATATAATTCATAAATATTTATTATACAAACACTTGGTGTAGGGTTTGCACATTGTCAGTTAGATTTGTTGCTTATTAAAAGTAAGTGGATGGACTGTTATTTCAGCCTAATTCAAAAGGACTTTAAACAAACCATATCTAATTAGAGAAGAGGCTAATATAATGAGCCTTGATAAGTTTAGAGAAGTCGAGCATGGCTACTGCCTGGGGGTGGCACTGTAAAATGACTAGGGAATAACCTCAAAATGCATTAAATATTCTGAAATCTTCTGTTCAGGCAAAAGGTTTAGAGCAAGTCACTGAGACAGGGATAATTCCTCCTTGTATGCTACTGTGTGAAACTGTTTAGTCCTGTGTGTTTCTTGAGTAATCATGAGTAATCAAATTGAAATACTTTTTAAAAGTACTTCATATAATGCAAGAATCCTATGGAATAAATTACTGTTGTCTGAGATTACAGGCAATATTTGTTTTACTTTTAACAACAGTGCTAGTGCCTAAGTGTTTTGAGAATGTGTTGATTAGTATATCTAATTATTTATTTTCTCTTTGTTTTAGCTAGCCGGGGTGGCCTTCCTTGCAGCTGGTCTGTGGGCATGGAGTGAAAAGGTAAGGGTAGAAATGACTGGTCTTACTTTGTTTGGTGGCTGCCCTCTCCTACCCCTGCTGCAGTAAAACTTCTTCCGCAGGAAGCAGCAAAGGTTAAATGTAACATCTGAGCTCAGGACCATGTTTGAATGATCTAAACTACGTTTAGTTGGAGTTTCATTATTGATCGGGTGTTAAGCTGCAGCCCTTGATGTTTAGACCTTTTTTGTAAACTCTTAAGAGCAGGATGCTTGGGAGAATTTAATTTCTGTGATTAGTCCTCGCAAACTGGTTCTCTTTTGAAAGCATGCTTTTTAAAATACGGTTCTCTACCCACCTCTTTTTGTTACAAACAAGTAGCATTTGGGAGAAATGTAAAAGATACCTCATTTTGATTAAAAAAAACCCCAACTGACCAAAAAATAAACAAAAAAACCAAACCCACAACCACCACCCCAAAAAAACAAAAAAAAAAATACAAAACCCCAAACCAAACACCCCAACAAAAAAAACGAACACAAAAATGCATCTTTGGGACTATCATTCTGAAGTATTCCAGTCTTCAGGCCAATCTGCTGTCTTCCACTTGGAATTTCCCATGGAGTTGCTTAAGTTACTGTGTCTCTGTGTAGAGGATCAAACCTGGGGAACATGATCTAACTGAATAAGGCTCTTGTATTTGTCAGAGGTTTCTTCTAGTGAACAGCTTCCTCAGAGGAAGTCTGCGTGAGCACGTACCTACAGAGATGTCCTATTACAAGAGATGGTATAGGTATGGAAATGAATGTTTCAATCCCTTGTTATGAATGCAAAAGCATGGTTTTAATGTGACTGTAAGCAGTAGGAAAAAGTGACAATTACTAGCAGATTTACTGATCTACATCTTAATTAGCAGTGGAAGGCAGGTGCCCTCACTGTTGTACTGCTGGGTAGGAAGAGTTTAATTACCATCGTGGTGTAACATTTCCTTAATCAGAGTGCTTATAGACAGCAGCTACCCACATACAACAGAGAGGCTCTGGGATTCCACATACAGAAAGGTTCTAGGATTCTTCCGCTTTTCGGGAGTGAAAGAGTTTTATGGTGATATTAATGCTGAGGTATGTATTCTCCTCTCCCTACTCCCTATGTGTGTGCAGGCATTCTCACAACTAAGTGATGTCGCTGATACATAGTAAGCAGCATGTCTCCACTCAAATGCATTTACCTTAGTCTGTTGTTACAAAAGGATTTTATTTCCAGTTCTTTATGGGGAGTGTTAATCTTGTCTTGAATTTGTATTCTCTCAAGTTCAGATATTATCTTCTGTTCTGTAAAGAAGCACATAGGGTATGTATGGTTGGAAATTACTAGTGCACAGCTACTTCTATTTGCCAAATAGACTTTGTAGTACAGTGAAGTTGCTAAATGGCAAGGACAGACTCTTTCTGTCTTTATTGCTTAAATTTTGCCTGAGCTATTTCTGTTCTCTGTTCTAACTTGCAAATAAGTGCTTCAGAGCTTTTCCTGTGGTTTTGAACTTCTGAATGGCTTGTGAAATCTGTACATTATTCTTCATATCTGTTGTTCTTTGTGATGTGGACAGTCTTTCATACTAGTTGCCATTCTTCAGCCCTAGTGTCTGTATGGATCTGTTTGTTTACAGATAAACATCATGGTGAACAATAGATAGGAAGTAAGAGAAAAACATTCCAGAAGCTATGCTGTAGCAGTAAACCGAAAGATAAAGTACATGCGGTGGAAAAGTTTTGAACACCCTATCTCTTAATGCAACATGAAGTACATTGGGTCCCTTTAACTTCCCTGTTTTTTCTTTTTGCATGAGGACTGTGTTATAATGAGTTATTATAATGTTATAATGTTGTGACAATCAACATCCAGTTTACAGAACTTCAGCTGTAAGAAATCAGCTCTGTCACTGTCAAATGTATTTTATGGTTTCCATACTAATGTTATCTCAAAACAGTAACTGGTTTGGCATCTGTTAATGAGCTGTATTAGAGATGCTTTATTTAAAAACAACCCACTTTTGCCCTCTGTTGCCAACACACTTCAGTTGAGATGGTGGCATAATGCTTACGAATATTTAAAAAGAGGAAAACAAGCATGTGAGGTTGAACTCTTTAATTCACTGTTCCAAGAGTCTGAAAGGAAGACTTAAAGGCTGAGTTTTATTCTTGGATTTTTTGACAGTGACTTCAGGTATCAGTCTTCCTTCCTGTATACCTGTAGGAAATTGAAGTGCTGTTTTAAGGGGCAGTCTGGGCCTCAAAGAGCTTTTACCGTCCTGCAGATGGCACAGGCAGAAGCATCCTTACAGAGCTGAGTGCCGTGGAATGAGATAGTCCCCTGAATTAATTCTCTTGTTTACTTCCTTCAGGATTTTTCATTTAGCATCTTTAGTTGGGCAAAAAGCACCCCACAACCTTCTTTGCAAAAGAGAATGTTGTAAACATCAAACATGAACATGAAGAAACTGTTGTGAACCAGCAGCATCTGAGGGGGAATAATAAAGCCCAGTTCCTGCCAACTGTTCTTCATAACATGTTTTGACCAGAGGAAGTTTTCTTCCCAAAAATGTTGCTTGAGCAAGTGAGATTGTCTGAAAAAAGCTTGTGTTTGGGTTGGAAAGGAGATGGCTGGAAATAGTTGTAAAAGTTTCAATATACTGGTCACAGTGTTTGGTTTCATAGTGTATGGGTTCTACAAAGACAGTTTAGCTGATCTTGGCATGTCTTCCTTGATTTTTGGGTTCTGAGGCAAGGTTTGATTAGGTAGGACTCTCACAATTAACCCGCTAGACCAAGTTTGATAGTTATCTGTCGATAGCTGTCTTACGGTTTGTAAGAATGGAAATGTGTCATTGGTGACACTAACTGGAAAAGTCTTTGCTTCCCAAGGCTTTCTGAATGTTGTGATACCTATAAGCTGTCCCCAATTTTTAATAGGCCATTTCAACTGTTAGTCACCAGCTATTGCAAGGCAATTCTAAATTCTACAGTTCAATTTTTATTTATTTATTCATTTTCATCCCTTCAACCAGTTTTGGTAAAAACAACTTCATTGTCTTGCTGTTGCCAAATCAACAGCTCTAACAAGATCTGTTATGGAACATATTCTGAAGGAAGATGAATTCCTGTGTATCACTGTAGCACTGTTAACCAGTGTCTTTTCATCAGCTGATGAAGTTTCTCCATGTACACATTCTAATGCTGTATTTTGAAGACATTATTTTTGTTAAGTAATCATTTAAATATAAAGTGACACAGGTTTATCCAACGTATTCTCTTAGAATGTATATTCTTTGAACTTGTGCTATTCAGGTATTTATGCTAGGTAAGAATTTGCATTCCCTTGACGGAATTCAACTGCTGATATGAATTACTTTGAGTCTCGCTGATATCTTTCTCTTATGCTGAACAAAATCAGCTTTGGAATATACTTTATTAAAGAAAAGATAGTAAACATGTAATGATGAGATATTGTCCTGTGTGTTTTGTAATTTCTCCGTTTGAAAGGGAAAATATTTCCTTATTAAAATGTTCTGTGTTTTGCTGATGAGTATATGACGGAAATTGCAAGGCTGCCTGGATGTGCTTACAGACTTTTCTCTTGAAAAACTTATGCGTATTTGATGGAATTTTAATGGTAGCTGGTGTATAAATTTAATTTCTTTAAAACCTAATCTAGATATAAGGGCTTCACTGTGTTAGCATTACATTTACATAGATTTAAAAATTCTGTCTTAAGATCTATGCAGACAGGCTTAATAGGTGAGATTTTCATCAAGGTAAGTGGTGTGTCTGGACAGTTAAGGAAGAAAATATTAGCTGCTTTTGGTGTAAGAATTTTATCTGGGGTGAAATGGGAATATTTGGGCTTTACTCTATATTTTGCCAGATTTTGGAGGAACATTCCTAAGACTATTGAGCACTAGAAGGGACACAATTAAAATGTTGAGATGAAAAGAATCTTCAAGCTTCCCTTGAAAACCAAAACAAGATTTTGCTCCCATCCTTTAAAATGTCACCCATCACCTGTTCTGTAGTTAATGTCTCTCCCTGTCTGCCACCAAACATAAGAACTGGAAAAAATTTTTTCATTTTTCTTAAAGACTTCATAATGCGCTTCTGATTTATGTATTTCAGGTTAATATAAAGCATTACTTTTGCCTTGAAACTATATGAATATGCAGTGATATCAAGCTTTTGGCCCCATCTTGTGGAAACTTGTTTGGCAAATAGACCTAGAAGAATGTAATCTGAGACTGCACTGGTTTTACTTATTAAAAGAATTAATAGCTATAACTTTGCTTTAATACTTCCTTTGCTATGGTAAAGAAAATTGGTATTGTTAGTAACCATTTTACAGCAAGAAGTTTCCATAAGAATCCTTGTTGGCAACCTCAGGGGTTTGCAACTAATTCATTTGGAGTCATGTGGAAATCATGGATATCCAGAAGGAATGCTTAATAAATTACATGCTTAAAGTGGTCACCTTTTTCTGCTACCCTGTTTTTCTCTTTCAGGGTGTATTGTCTGATCTGACAAAGGTAACCGGTCTTCATGGTCTGGACCCAGTGTTGCTTGTGTTAGTGGTCGGAATAGTGATGTTTACTTTGGGATTTGCTGGTTGTGTAGGAGCCCTGAGAGAAAACATCTGCCTTCTGAAGTTTGTAAGTAACACCTTTATATGAGTGGATTATGTGTGCGAAAGTAGGGAATGAGGGGTGAAGAACTAGTAGCAAAACCAAGTAATTAATTTTTAGAACTTAGTTTGTTACAGTGTATCACAATGTTTGTTACAACTTACTCCCCTAACAAGCCTGTGAGTAATGGTATGAAAGCAGCATAGGTTCAAACCTATATATATTTTTCCCTTTCTGGAAGATGTTTCTTCCTTTTTTCATTTATTCTGCTATACAGTGGTGATGTTGAAGTATTGTATACCAGAATCTAACATTGTGTATGTAATATCATAAAATGCGATGTTTGGAACATATTCAGTCAGTTAGGAATTGCTGAGAGGAGATGGTGTAGTGGCTTAGGGAGAACAAAATCCCTTAAAAATTTAAAAATTTCTTCTAAATGGGCAAAACTTGGGGCCTTTACATGTCAGATCTCTTAAATGGTTGTTTTTATACTGAGGCTGCTGCTTTGCTTTCGATCTGAAAATGAGCTGGACAAAAGAATTATAAAACTGGAAACAACTCAAGAAGTAACATCAAGACTACTTTGGCCCTGTATTTTGCGGATTCTTTTTAATACTGTCACTGCTGTACATATGACTGTGGTGTTGTGCTCATTTTACTGTCAAGTTCAGGTGACCAAAATAAAAAGATAAGTCTCCCTCTTGGGTGTTTCTTTACATTGTATTTTCATTTTAACAGGCTGTATTCTCATGGTATCTGTAGTGAGTAAGAATTTTAACCTAATTCTCTGTGTCTGTTTCTGGTAAAGTTAGAGTAGGGATGCATTCAAAATGAATGGATATTTTCTAATTTGGGACTTTTATTTTTACAGTTCTGTGGAGCAATTGTGTTTATATTCAAAAAGGTGGCAGTGGCAGTTCTGGCCTTCCTGTTCCAGGACTGGGTGAGGGACAGGGTCAAAGAATTCTTTGAGAATAACATTAAATCCTACCGCGATGATATTGACCTCCAGAACCTCATTGATTCGCTACAGAAAATTGTAAGTTCATATCCTGTCACTATTTTCATGTGTTCTAGGAGAGCATGTAGATTTGGAAGTTTTCTGTTTTGTTACAGTTTTATCATATTCTGTAGTTAATAGTGCCATGTTACAGATGTGCTGGTTTACTCTTTATACATGTCCTGGGTTCAGCTATAGCAGTCATTTTTCTCCTTCTTAGTAGCTGGTGCAGTGCTGTGTTTTTGACTTTCAGCCTGGGAACAACGCTCATAACACCGATGTTTTTAGTTGTTGCTCAGTAATGTTTACTCCTACCAAGGACTTTCTCAGTCTCATGCTCTGCCAGGGAGGAGGGGAAGCCAGGAGGAAGCAGAGACAGGACACCTGACCCAAACTGGCCAAAGGGGTATTCCATACCACAGCACGTCATGCCCAGTATATAAACTGGGGAGAGTTACCAGGAAGGCCCAGATCGCTGCTCAGGTCGGGCTGGGTATCACTTGGTGAGCAGTAGTATCCTCTCCCTTTGTTATTTCCCAGTAGGAAGAAGAGGGGGAGTGATTGAGCGGCTGCAGGCTTCTTAGTTACCGGCTGGGCTTAAACCACAAAAATACATTATGTGCAGGTTTGCTCTTTATGCATTGAAAGCATCAGGGAGGCAAGATATTCTAAGAGACAATGCTGTTCTGTCAATATGGAAGCTATACTAAGCATCCATCTCTCTTTTGACCTTCTTCACTCACTCCCCTGTTCTGATCATTGTTGCACCAGTTTGAGTAAGAAGTGAGGAACAAAAGTGCTATCCTGAAAAAATTGTGCACAGCAATTGTGTAGTACTTGGTTGCCCACTGGGGTTAAATCACAACAGTCTGCTGTGTATTGCCAGCAACTTACCTGTCCTGCTCATTCACTTTTGTGTGCATTGATATGGAAGCATCCTCTGACTAATCTACCTGGTTGGATTTCAGTGCTGTTTTGCTTTAGCTGTTGGTGCTAAGGGCACTTTTTTGTAAGGCAGGGCTCCTCCTGGCCATGACCCACACCAGTAATTTTCTCTGTATTGCCCACTCTGTTGTTGCTCTTTGTTTATCTCATTTCAGGATAGTCACCCAGGCTAATATGCTAAGCTGATTTATAGTTGAGCTCCAATTAAATACTTTTCAATGAAAATAAAAGGCTGAGCTTACTAAGAGGAGTTCTAGCCAGATCAACAAGCTAATAAGCCTGAAAAAGGAAAGACCAGAAGAACCTCTCCTTTGGCATATTATTGATCCATACCTGAAGGTACTGAGGAAGGAAGGATGCAATTTATGGAAACAGATTAGCATGCTTTTGATGGTTGTATGTCTTACTTACAAAAGTGTAGATTTGTCAGGGAGGAGTGACTAGAAAGACAAAAACAAACCTTTTCTGCTTTCTTCATGGTAAATGACCATTCTGTTCAGCTCTCTTTAGCCATATATATACTGTGAAAACTTTACGAAAATAGCATTCTGTTCACATCTGTGTCTGTCACAACTTGATAACTTCTCGATCCATTTACTGACTTCAAGTTTTGGTGGCCTCACAGACAATTAGATTGATACAAGTTTTGTGAAGATGGGTGGTAGGCAGAGGAAAGATTCTAGAGTTATCCCCAGAGAATGGGACTTCATGAAGTACCAGGAAAATCTACGTGATGGTATAACATTTCAAGTACTCAAATTCTAGAGAATGATTTGTGCCCTTGAATATCCAGGCCAGTAAGCTTTAAGGCTTAGCTTAATAAGAAACTAGCTTTCATTAGTTTGAGGAATTGAACACTCCTTGAAATGTTGTGATTTCACCAACCTGCTAATTATGGTAAGTGCATTACATTGTTAAAAAGTATTTCACATAGGTTTCTTGACCTAGAGTTGGCTGACCTTTGAGCTAGTGAGACTTTACCAGTTAATTCATTTGGATATGAAAACCTGCATATTCAAAAGAAAGGAAGTGTGTTCATGAGTGTTTGGATCCACATTTTACAGTAAACGAAGATTTAAGGATGGAGTTGCAAATTTAAAGAAACATTTTTAAATAATTTTTCTGGTTTGGATGACTTGTAAACAACGGGGTACAAAGCCTTTGTTAAATTATTTTGTTGCACTATTTATGGATGGTCACTGATTGCATCTAGCAATTACATCTAAAGTGATAATTTTTATGATTCTGCTTGTCATGCTGACACCTGCATCCAGGAGCAGTATGCCAAATGTATTGCTTTGATTTCATAGAACTACTGTATTGATTACTCATTTTTTACTCTGATGCTGCTATTGATTCTGCACAGCCTTAGAGAAAGTGAAGATGATAAGTATCATTCCAGAGAATGCATTCAGTGGATAAATGGTCTCTAAAATATCCCCAAATGCTAAGAGTTTGTTTATCTGTTACAGAACCATTGTTGTGGTGCCCAAGGTCCAGATGACTGGGACTTTAACATATATTTTAACTGCAGCAGTGAAAGCAAAAGTCGTGAGAAGTGTGGTGTTCCTTTTTCCTGTTGTATACCTGATCCTGCTGTAAGTTGTTTCCTGGGTTTGTATTGGTCTGATGTTGTTGGAGAGTTACGAAGGGAAGCACTTCCTGAATAAAGTGTGATGAATAGGACTTTAAAAAGTCTTCTGAATGATCAAAAACTACTCTTGTGCAGACAAACTCTTTGCATGTTTTTGTTCTATTCTTGATAGAGCCTAAATGTGGCAACCTGTTCTTCCACAGCTTGAGTGGCTGATTCTTATTCCCCCACCCCAATGTGTTGTTTCCATCTAGCTTGTAAGGACCTGAGAGCACTGTCTAAGCAGTGTTTGCCCTAGTTAGAATTAATATTACAGCACCCCTCTGCCAGGCAAGCAGGAGTGTATATCAGCAACTAATACAGTGTTTAAGCACAGTCTCGGTTTAAAGCACTTGAGTAAATTCTCTGGTTTTGGCAAGATTTAGGTGAGATCTGTTTACGAAACTTCAGTAATCTAACCTTTTGAGTGGAAGCCAGAACGTGGAGGTAGGACTAACATATAATCCTTGACAGTATTAGTAGGAATAGTCACAGCTCAAAGTCAGTCCGGAAGTCCTTATGCGGAATAGATAGCCCTTGGCAGGTTATGCTGAGGCTTTTGATTGTCTTGGAAATCAGCCAAGGAAAGAATTTGTCAGGGAAATATTCCATGTTCAGATTTCCTGGTAATTATTTTCTACTTTAATTTGGATCGGTACTATTCCACTGCTGTATTTAAGGAGATGTAAGTATAGTTAAATCTTCGTAAGATGATATTTACTCCTAATATTTCAATACAACTCACTATGCATTGTGTAAATTATGCTATAATTGTGTAATACATAAGTTTTCAAAAGCTTCATATAGAGAGAACAAAAAGTCTTAAATGGAATCTCTTTGCATCTTTGGACATAAATTGGGTTGCGTGGGGTTGTGATTGTGTGGGAAGATGTTTATGGTCTTCCTACTTGGGATCTGCAGCTGGAATATTTTGTCTTCACGACTAGGTATATCTTGGAGCTGGATTATATGTGAGACTGGACTGTTATCTGGGGGGGCTCAAGTAGCTTGCAGCTGTTACTTATTTTAACTGATTGGGATAGCAAGTTGTATACCACTTGAAATGATGGAATTGTAAGGCATGTTTCTTCACTGCAGGTTTAAATGCATCAGCCTGGTACCTTTATTGTTACCTCAGTGTTTAGGTGTTATGTGAAATACCTAAATGAAACTGATCTTGGAAATGCAGGTGTCTTATCAGTATTCTGTCAGTACAGTTGCTATGCTTCATATTAAAAAGTCATTGCTAGTTGAAAGCCAAGTGATAGAAGCAGCTAGAATTCCTCATGAAGGATGTTTTCCTGCGAGTATACACTACTGCTTTGTCATTACTTTTCTTGTATTCTGCTAGTGCTTTGCTTGTTTTTAGTAAAAATACTTCTTAAAATGTTTGGCTCTGACAGTCATGATTTGTTTGTCTGCGAAATCTAAAAAAATCTTTCCGTGAACAGAAGTGAGTAGAATTCAGTTGATTTATTTTAAATCTCTCTTGCTTTGCAGCAAAAAGTTGTGAATACACAGTGTGGCTATGATATCAGAAAGAAGGTAAGGTGCTGGGGTCTTGCTGTCTGTCATATTCTGTGCTTGCATAAGCAAAATTATAAAAATGGTGAAATTGCTGATAGATATGTCAGCTTAAAATTCTGGGAACTAATCAGCTGTGCCACATACTACAAGTAAACCTCTACTGTGGGAGGGCGGAGAAAACAAGTGGTGGAATGGGTAAAGGGAAAGGTGTGTTTCAAAAAGGGGTAGGACTTGCATTTCAAATGCACATTTCAATTATTTGTTATAACAGTCTAACTCTGAATTCTATTATCTGCTAATTGGAAAGTATTCTAATAAATGGATTTGCAGAAAGATACTAACATCAGTGTCTGACATTTCCCTGATTTAATCTGGGCATATATGTATTTCTGAAGTCTGGTTAAAAACATTGCTGCGTAAGTGACAAATTGTGCAGCTATGTCCTGTGATTGTTCTTATAATAAACTTGAGCAGAGAACTGATATTCTTCCTCTCTACATTCAGAGCAAAAGTCAATGGGATGATCAGATTTTTGTCAAAGGATGTATTCTTGCCCTTGAGGCTTGGTTACCCCGAAATATCTACATTGTTGCAGGTGTCTTCATAGCTATCTCGCTGCTCCAGGTTAGTTGCTTTTATTATACTACTTTGAAAAAACTTTTGAGTTTCCAGATACAGACCTACTGAAGGGAAAAGTGGTTATGGGCAGGTAGAGTTAATAGTTCAACACAGGATTTTTTTTTGGTAGGTATGAGAATAATACGGCAAAAAAATAATTATAGGAATGGGGACTTAGAGTGAAAATATCTGATATCAACTAATCGTTGAAATTACATTCCTCAAAGCAATGAAGGTCACTGTAGAAATACAGTGCAATTATAATACATAAAGTATATGATGATTGTATATTGTTAGCATATTGTTATATTAATATATAATTATTACATAATGTGACACAATATTTCTTAAGTTTCAATATGCTGTGAAGCAGGGGAGATCTGGTCATCTGCTCCAGTAGATCTTCTATCACAAATGTGAAATGACAGAAATACAGTTCTGCCCATGCTAAAACTACTTCTCAGCTGGCTGTGAGTGATGTGTAGCATACTGATCAAAAAAAATTGAAAACTGGAGAGCAGGGAAACTGGTGAACAGGAGGCAAGTGTGATATTAGTAGAACCAGATGAAGAAGTTGCTGTGGCTTCTTTCAGTACTTTGTTGGTGCTTGGTACATCAAAGAAAGAACAAAAATTCTCAGCAAAACACATCAGGTTACCTCTTTCAAGGTGGATCCTGCTTTCATTGAGGCAGCTGTGTACACTTACCTAAATTTCTTTGATATTTCAGTGGGAAATAACAAACTTGTTGGTCTACTACAGAATGTATTTTCCGTTAGACCGAAAATGGAGTTTAGTGCTGGCAAAATACCTTTTCTTGACCATGGCAATGCTGCCCTCTGTTGCTAAATTTTTAGTATTTTATAACCATCTAATGATATGCTTCCATGGCTTTGAGAGATGCTGTTGTGAGAACACCACCTTTAGTTAGGAAGATGTTCAAGATACAAATTGTAATCTTTTGGCAGTGTATTGACTGGCAATAACTTCTTGTTATTCTTTTTCACGACCTGAGTCTCTGGGAAACCACTTTCACAGTCGCTTGTCTTTTCAGGTTGAGTCTTTCTTGTGCATTAAACTATTTCATGGTGGGACTGAGAATTAGATATAACCTGACTACTTCTAAAACAATTTTTCGGCTTTTCCAAAGCTTCACTCCAGTCTGTAGTTTTTTAAGGCTATTTCAGGAAATGTGCAGAGTTATGAATTTATCTTAAATGTGTAAAGGAAGATTTCCCTGAGAACTTGAGTGAATGTTGAAACTTCATATTTTAATGTCTCGGAATAGTCTGGGACATCAAACTTGGCTAAGTGGATTTCTTCCAGCTCTGGGGCATCTAGAAGCTTCTTATTATGAATGCTCCTGAAGTGTTACGTGAAAGCATCTTTTTCTCATAAGTTTTATTTCCTGCAAGATTCTGCTGCCTTTATTACTTTTTAGTAATAACCATGCTTTGACGGATGTTCCTAGCTATGAAATGATATCTGAACCTGCAAACAAACATCTTGCAGACTGGTATATTACAAGTGTTTCATCTCACAAATGGTTTTTTGTTGTTGTTTCTGTTTGTTTGTTTGTGTTTTAGATTTTTGGGATTTTCCTAGCCAGGACGTTGATATCTGACATTGAAGCTGTAAAGGCAGGTAATGCCTTCTGAATATAAAAGCAAAAAAAGTGTATTTTATGGTTACTGGTTGGACACCAAGGAGGAAGAAACGCACAGGCCATGAAATACTCCTGTTAAAAGCCTTGTGTGGATTTTACCCAGCTCATGCTTTTTGTTAGAAGCTGGTACAAAAACAAGATCTCTGAACACACCTGTCTACCCTTTTTTCTAACAAGTCAACTCAGTGCATCAGCATTGATCTCTGAGGAAGAAATGGAATTTTCCAGGATACTTGCGGAACAGTTTTTAAGGATTGTAGCAACGAGTCATGAAACTGCTGTGAACTCTTTCCTTGAAGGATTACTGTGAAGATTGTTCTGTTTTCTCTCCCAACTGTCATCAGTCTCAAAATGTAATCTTTTTGGAAGGCGTGCTGATTTCTTCAGAGTCTTGAAATCATTTTGGTGTCTACAGCAGACTCATGCAGTCATTTTTGGCAAGATACCCAGCAACCATATTGTAATGGTATTGGAAGTTGGAAAAAAAAAAAGTCATACATTGTCTGGTTCTTTAACTGATTTTCAGTTGTACAGAAGTAAGGATATTTCTGTTTGACTGGTAATTGTGTAGATGTGTTGGGAGCAGGAACTTGGGCTCAGCATCAGAGTTTGAGTAACACATGCTATTTTGAAAATGCAAGCCCCTTTTTCAAGAGGGGAAGAAATCTTACTATCTGTAGCATTAGATGTTAGAAATCTCCATTTCAGGCAAGGGGGTATGAATTCTTGATGCTGTTTCCTGTCTAAAAAAATTGTAAATGTTCTTTATTTATAGAGGAAAAAGCTCCTTAAAAATCCTTATCTTTTTATTGATTGGTAATATCATTTAGAAGTTCTGTCTGCAGAAATTTAAAAATGCAGCTTGCTTCAGAGGTAGCAAGCATGCTATGCTAGCTGTTCATGGGGTTTTGCCTTTTCCTTCGTTTTCTCTTACAACTGCTATATTGATCTTCACACGTACTAACTGCTAATATCAGGACTGATGGAAGCATTTCAACTCAGCATTGATCCTTACTGAAACCTGGTTTTTAATGAGGAAGTACACATTTACTAAAAGATTGGAGTTGGTGAATTTTTGAATCTTCTATACAGCTATCAGTTCTGCTTGTATTCTGGTACACGGTTCAAATGCTAATCACAATACGGTGATCCAGAATGATTCCTTCACAGTAATCTTCTACATCAAACTGAACTACTTCTGCTGAAGTAATTTTTCTTTTTTTTTTTTTTTTCTTTTCCCCCTTATTTTTATGAGAAGAAAACTACTTTCTCTTTCCCATCATCTCTTCTTGGGGGTTCAGTAGAGGGATCTGTAGTTCAGTAGGAGTTCCAGTCTTCTCTAAAAGATTCTGGCACAGTATTTTTAACTTTAAGATAGAAGTATGTGACTGAAAAGTTCATGGAAGTAGCTGTCAGGTTTGCTGTGGGCCATGTAACTAACATTGTTTACTGCTTCCAGTGACACCCAATTTTTTCAGGGAGAGCAGGTTTATTTACAGTGCCTAACACAGTGTAAATTTTAAAAAAGTATATATTTTTATAATGGTATTTTACTACATGTAGTCTGCCTGAAGGATTTAATACTTGTATTTCCAAAGTATATAGCTTTCTTAGGAAGCCAAACTTTGAAATATCTCTCCAATGTCCTTTTCTCTATTATGCATGTATTAACAAACATTTCACTGGCAAAAGCTGATCAACAGTAAGAATCTTAGTATCTGTACTGATTGTCCAGATACCCTTCCAGCTTTTAATTTGTGAAACACTTCACAAACAATGCTATGCTTTTTGTGTACTTCAGTTCAGCTTTCATAGTTCTTTTTCTGGCTAGTGATTGAGACACAACAGGAAAAGGAAGCTTGTCTAAGGATGGCTGATTTCCTTACAGTAGCAGAGAACGCTGCTATTAATCATCTGAAAACCTGAAAGAGAAATGCTAGAAGTGCACTGTGATTTATTTTTATTTAGCTTTGATATACAAGAAAACAATAGCAGTAGATCACTGAGGGGAGAGCAAGAAGCATTTCTGCTGTAGAGTTTTGAATATGAGGTCTGTGTTACTTAGTTGTTAAATCTAGTCCGTTAGGAGCAGCCAAAAATTTTCTGCTGTTATTGCTGCTTTGCAAGCAGCAAAGCCATGACCAGCAACCTTTGCTTTAAACTCTGGTGCTTGAAACTTTACAACACCTCATCAATCAATTTACTCTGTTAAGGGTATGTGTAATAATCTGATGTATGTAAGATTGGACAAGGATGTTTTCTATTTGTAACTTCTTATTCATAAAACATTGCCTTGAAAATTGCATCTAGGGAGCACGTTTCCCATTGCCACTTTTTGACACAGAAAGCTCCTAATGCTGTGAAGTAATTTCAGCAGTTGGTGAAAATCATCATGGTGTCAAAGATACCTGTAGAGTTCAAGCACTGAAATTAGTTACTGACAAGAACCGGTGTCAGATCAGAATTCCATTGTCTGCAAATCTTGCCAAGTTGCCTGAAGACAAATGAATACTTGGTTTCATTTTGAAGTACTGTTTTTATGCAAAACAGATTTAATGCAAGTGTTGTCTTTCCAGTTTGTTCTTACTGGCTTTGGCCATATTAACACCAATTTTGTATCAGTGCTGCACTTACTGAGAACTGAATTCAAGAAAGCAAGTTCAACCTATTTGAGGATCTTTAAATTCATGGAGTGATTTGTTTTCCCTGTGGATAAACTTCTCTGTCCTTGCTCAGCATTACTTCTAAACCCCTGGCACTCTAGGCTGGTATACCCCAAGACATTTTGAAGTGTACCCATATTGGTTGTACACACGGCTAATGTAATTTTGGACTTGGAATGCAAATATTGTCTTGAAACTTTCTGCTTAGCACCTTCTCTGTGGACCTGAAGTGACTTCATGGGTAAAGATTTAAATTATGGTTTAAAAAAGGCCTATCAGCAAAAGCAGTTGGGTGTGAACCTGCCTTTAAAGCTTTGAAGGAGAAGCAATTCAATAATCTCACAGAGGTCTGATAAATTGTTGATGTTGAGATTTCAGTGGTTACATTTGGAACAACTCCACAAACACTACAATGGAAACAAGAGTTTTAATGATGTCAAATATGAGATCAGACTTGAATAACTAGACTGAGAAGGAAACTTTTCAGTGTGATCACTTTTATCTCTCAGAAATGAGCACAATTTATTTGTGTGAAGCAATGTATTTATTTGTCAGTATGTTCAACAGTACAACTGCCCGTTCGTTTCTATTAATATACCCCCAGTTGGACGCAGCTTACTTGTATGGGAAGAAGAGGATGAATATAAGCCCTGAAATAAGTGCAGTGACCAAAGGAGCTTTAGTCGCCTCCTGAAATCCTCGGTATTTCTTCCCAATGGGTTCAGTTTTGGTGACCTTCGTACAGTGCCCTGTGGATAGACTTGTACCTCCAGTCCATTGAGGTTGATGTGAGGATTGACTTACACATAGAACTGGGTTTTGTTTTTTGTTTCCCCATTCCATCATTTCCTCTCCCATCTTCCTGCCACTTGTGGGTAATCATGCAGCTTGAACATTGTTCAGCCAGTGGAAGGGGAGGTTCTGTCTTTTCTTCTGAGGTGGCTTTTCTGAGTGACTTGCAGTATTTTTTTGTTTTTTTTTTTTTTTTTTCCTCAAGCCTTATATTTGATTAAATAAAATTTAATGTTTTGTACTCCTGGAGTTTGATTTCTAAGATTCATTGCTTTCAGTCACTAGTATTTTCTCCTCTAAGGTTTAGACTGGATACTGAGACGGCAATTTGTGGTTAACTACAGGAATGGTAAGGGTCTACTGGTGTTCATGTGTATATTTTGCTGAAACTAATTCTTATTTATTTTGGTTTTTTTTTTTTCCCCTCCAGTCTTGGCAGCTGAATCGTATGTAACACTGGAACTTTTCTCTCCATTGCTAATGGAAAGACATGAACAAGTAAAGAGCTGCAGAAAGGTGTAGAGAAATAATTAAATATCTGGGAACCCATAAAGTTAAAACTGCTATTAGCACTTTGACTGCTTTATCCACAGCAATTGCTCTTGTGATTTGCACAGTCTGTGGTTTGTCAAATTTGAGCAATGTTCCTGAAACTATTCTTCAGTGTACAGAAGGGAAGTTGCTTCCAGGTTTGAAGATGAGACTTACAGAAATAGATTTGTGACTGCTTATTTGATCATTTTAATGTTTCTTTAACGCATTAAAACCTCATCTTAGTTTTAATAAGGTGAGAGAAACGTTTAACTAATAGATAATGGCTATATTAGAATAATGAAATATCCGGAATTAGATGCTCTGAAATGTTAAGGCTGGATCATTTCTGATAAGAATGACTTAACTTGAATATGACAATTTGGTATGTATATATAGAACTTGTAATAGGTCCTGATATCTCTCATACTACTGCTGATTTAGGCATGATCCCAGATCTTATACTGAAGTTGAGATTGTCTGAAGCTATTTCTTATTTTGACATTGGAAATGTGTAGGATGCCCATATCACTGTGTGCTTTAAGCTAGAGGAAAACTGCACATGGTTCGGCTCTTGTTTTATTTTTCTCCTACTATGTGGTCAAAACCTCCAAGTGACTTGTCTGGGGTGGTTTTACGAAATTCCCTTTCTCAAGAGTACTCATGATAGTGATATTTAGTGGGTTTAAATAGTGTTAACGCATTTTTCAAGTGGGGAGGCTTTTGCTTGCACGAAATTGTAATGTTTGTTCACAGATGTAAGCCATTTATACTCAGATTGAGAACCTGATGTCTCTTAAATATTCCGTGCTTTATAACAGTTTCTTAAAGGTCAGTATGTTCCTATGTTCAGAGACATTTGTTTTGCTACAGTTTTTTACTGTCTAGAATTAAATCCAGATTCCCCTACTGGAAGTAACTCCAGCTGCCTCCGAATCTTTGTATGTGCCCACTTGTAATTTCTAGCTAGCTTTAATTTGTATCTTGTCCAAGCACTGTATGGACA